AATCAGAATCACAATTCTGGGGAGGCTTCAGAGTTCAAATATCACGACCTGCTTCAAAATCTGTCGTTTTAAAACCTTGTTTGCTTCCATACAATAAATCTACAAGATCAAAATGCCTTTGGGGTTTTCAAACCCTGCTGATTCATACAACCTTTACAAAGGATCAAAACTTCCTGAGAATTGAACCATTCAATTGAATCTTTGAATCTGAAACTTGTTAGTTTACCTTTACTGAGAAGTTTACAGATTCTCTGCATTTAAAAGCATCCTTTGGCCATAAAGTGAGCATTCTTTTTAAACCCTTTGACCATAAAAGTCACAGTTATACAACACCCTATTGTTAATTTTTCTTACATGCTAATGATAACAGTGTAGTGATCGTGACATTTGCAGGCGCTATAAATTTTACTTAGTATAGCAAAATAAGATTGGATCTATTAATATTGCATTACATTCAAAATAGAAGACTTCCTCATGTGTTGCAATAATATTATTCCACGTTTGAAGTCTAGCCTTCAAGTGGATTATTTTCAGGTTGTTGATTTTTTCCATTTGCATAAGCCAACACACTGCAATAGTCTATTTCATGCTCTCGCTTTAGCTAAACATAGCTAGCATCAGGAGGTAGTAGATAAACGGTTGCAAAAATCGAGCTCTAAGAATAATCAAAGGTGGTCTGTTGTCTTTTCCATTTTCTGGCTAAAGATGATTTCTTTGTTTGATTCCATCACAGTGGTGGAGTATAAATATATGTATTTACATACAATATATGTTTTTATGCCACTAAGCTATGTGAATGCTGCCTTCAGAGACGATAGGAAAAGCAGTGCATTGTTTAATTATCAAGAACAACCTGTCATTCTGTGGCTCAGATGAATCATAAACTAGCTTGCATACATGGCTTTATCACTCGTACGCACACCCACACACACAAACCCTACAAACATTTTGCATATTACTTGAAGACCTGTTTGGTTATAAGTTTGCCGTAACCAAGGTAGATTCTCCTACTTTGTCTTAACATGGCAGTCCAGCCACCTATATTGAGTGACAGAAACTAAATGGAGTATGTAGTCTCAAGTATGCCACATACAGTATTTAATCATATTCCATTAACTAAAGAATAAACCAACAACAGCCATGAAGTGAATTTACATTTCTGCCATCTACCTCCTTAACTTTTTATCCAGCAGATTAGGGTTGGTGGGGCGTTTAAAATGTAATTTTCTAATAAACTTTTGTGTGCATTTAATATTTTTAAGTGATTCATATGTATTTAATACTACTACTACTACTACTACTACTCAATGAATTCTATAATTCCCATTTCATTATGTCATACGTTACATTACTTCAGAATAAGGAATTTTTTTTTCCCCTTTCAAGATTTTCTGTATTGCATATTATTTTTTAAAATTTAAATAATAGATTGAATATAATTGTGGCACACTGCAGATGCAGATTTTGGTAAAATTACAACTGAAATCAAAAGAAAAAGAAAAAGAACATGACATGTATATTGATAAACCTTTAACAGAATACCAAGATTATTATGATTATGTCCAGGGACCAAGTGATAAGCCAAGTCTCTGATAAGACTGAAGTTCATCTTTTACAGCAGCTACAATCAGAGAGTAAAGCTCAAAGCATATTGTATGGCCGGGCAGTGGGGACATGTCATCATATCCTATCATAATAGTGCGATTTTTCATTTAAACTTTGCGACCTGCTGCTTACTTACACTTCCTGTTTCTTCTGAAATATTCTCATATCATCAAAATGTGGAGCTTTTTTTTTTCTTTTTAAAAAAACAAACAAACAAAAAAAGCCATTTTCATTTCCACAGCTTCAGTAATCCTTTTTTTATCAGTACAGCACACAGAATCTGAAGCTACCCCAGTGATAACTGCTTCAACAACTGCTCATTCACAGAGGTACTGCAGGACCAAAAACTCAAGCTTAGCTCCAAAAGCAAGTCATAACCCCTACATACAATGTTCAGCTTTACAGCATTAAAAGAAAAATGTGCTTATATCCCAGTATATGGCCAAGTTGTGGTGTGAGACACACTACCACAGGCAGCTGTGGTGTGGCTGGCAACAGGCCACACCTCCATTAACTGGCGTCACTGAACTAGACTTCTGGACTATACTTGTGTTGTTGATGCCTTTTGGCATCTATTTATCTGACAAATTATCAGCCCTGCTGGTGGAAAATAACATTCAAGATGTTTGTGCTTCACCCTTGGTGAGTGAAAACCTGAGTGTTTTATTAGCAGTAATTAGGCGGTATGTGGCTGCTAACCACCTAGCTAGCATTTGCTGGTAACTTAGCCACCTGTTGTTCAATTATGTTCATTTTGGCTCCAAGAAACAAAACAAAAAGGGTCAAAACTTAAATGTTGACAGTTAAAAATTGAAAACCAATGGGTCGTGGTAGCCATGTCCATATTTTATATATTGTCTATACAAGCTCAGTGGAATGTGAAAAAAGTGTTTTTGTTTGTTAATATATTAAAAAAAAAAAAGCAACAGCTGCATAAGATGTGTTTTTGTATAAAGCTGCACCAGAAAGTGGGAAAACCCTGTAAATGTGGATAAAAAGGAAAATCTACTAACAAAAAAATAAGTGATAAGCTACCCTAAAAGGTCAATGAAGAACTTGGCTTCTCAAATGGGCTCAAAAAGACTTCTTAGTTTAAAACATTGCAAAGTTAGTGAAAGGTTAATAATAATAATAATAATAATAATAATAATAATAATAATAATAATAAGATTAGTAGGACATTGAAAAAGAATCTATTATAAAACTACTTTTGTAATGGACTCTGTCAAACTGGTCATCATTTTGTTGAGTCTGGAAAAAAAAAAAGAGCAACAGATTTTGGTTCTGTAATAACTAAATGAGGAATAAATGTAGCTGTGGAAATCTTCTGTTCAATACTATAAGGAAAAAGAACAAAAGGAGGGAAAGACCATCATTAATGCTGAGCAGCATGGCAAGAACTCTTTGTGTAGCTCTATTTGAATAGGCCTACACTTACTAGTGAATAGTCACTTTATAAAACAACACGTTACTCAAACAGCCACCAAAACATGAAAAAAAGGACATAAAAAAAAATCAACCTGAAAATCAAAACAAAATGAAATAAGGAAAAATTCAAGTACTATTATTAAAATTAAAGTCCACCTGGCAATACTGCAAAAATATACACAACTCTGCTCATCTTTCTGACAGCCTTACTTTGCTCATGCAGCTGCTAAACGGCTGACTCTGACATTTTTATACAAAAACAAAAAAAATTAAACAAAAAAACCCCCACCACCAACAACCCCCCCCCCTTCCCATACAACAAACGCAAGAAAACCTAAAGACCTGGCTCAATAAATTGTTGTCACAGTTTCTCCAGGTCTCTGTATGTGGCCCACATTATGGCTGAGGCTGGATGGGCTTGCAAGACATAAAATCATCCAAATAGCTCATCTGGTTCAGATAGCCAAAGAAAGGGAGAAAAAGCTGCAGGTCGTAGAAAGAGAATGCCCAAACATCTATGACCCAGGCCTGACTCTGGGTGCTTTCTATGATTAGACAGGACTTTCTGAGTGATTATGTGGACACACCCCTACAAGGTTAGAAAATCGTTTTAAGTGATGTTGAGGAATGGTATTCCTCATGTGCTGACATTACAGGTGGCCTGTGGCATCACTCTTCAAGTATCCTCTCAGGTGAGTTTGACTCTCCCCATTCCTGATTGTTGGTTTGGTGTTTCCAGAGATGTCCTTTTGTGGTTTCCTCCTCCTCGATTTTGTCACATCAGGGTTCCTGTCTAATGTAGTAACTGCCCGAGCCATTGCTCTCTTGGTCTGAGGTGCCCTGCGAGAAGGTGAATTCATCCACTTCAGCGGTCTCCTCTTTCATTCGCAGGAGAGACTCTAGAGGCAGGAACAGAATGCAGAAGAGAAGAGTAGCAAAGATGAGCCCCTTGTGTTCATGCGCTTTGAACAAAAATGCAAGGAGCCTTTGCTTCAGAAGTTAATTTTAAAACCACCTGACAGGCATCAAAATAAATGACCCAGTCCCTACTGTAAAGCACCACTCTACTCTTTACTGACATGAAATATTCATGTTGATAACGAACAGACAAAGGTTGATTGAAACAGCAGCTTCCAGCCCCACAGTGTAGCCTGGTGACCAGGACTGTCTTCATAGACAGTCCTTCATACCCCCCCCACACACACACACACGAAAACCAACAACCCAGGATACTTGCAGTGCAGTGCTGGTTTTGTTTTTAAAAGAGTGCCATTACCTGATTTGTGGGTTAGGTGGAAATGGGTGCGGGGTCTGGGCCGAGCTGGCCCCTGGGCAGGGTAAGGGGGTGGACTCTGCTCTTCGTCCCCTGAGAAGCTGCTCCTCCTCCTGCCTGCCTGACTGAAGGGCCGTCGACCAACAGGAATCTTCCTCTCTAAACACCAAGCCAGATGCGGGTAAGCTACCAGGGGCTCATTACAAATATGGGATGACTTTACGTTTAGATGACTTAGCAGAAAGGAATGATCAGACAGCAGGTTTTATTTAACTTCATAGTGCTAACACTGATATGCCCATCTGAATAAGCCCCTGGTAAGCTGTACTCTGAGTGCTAGACACAAGTAAGCAGATGCACAATTAGCATGATATCATATTTATGCCATATGTGGCAAGCCATATAATACATAATCACAAGCAAATTATAGTATTTCATAGTTGCACAACAGAAGTCCTGGTGCACAAATTTAACACTGCATGAAGCGGGAGCTGAAATTAAAGTTTATGAATTAACAATAACTAAGGTGACTCTGCTCTCAGACAAATTTCCCATAGGATAACATCCCTGTGCCCTACATGCAAGGGCTTGAAAAGACTATGTGGGAGTGAAACAATAATTATAATTTGCTTGTGACTATGATTTATCATGGTTGTGACATATGACATAATTATGAATCCACGGTAAACTACCAAGATGAATGCTACAGGAACTGTCAGTATTTAAAATAATAACTTTTCGTGTTCCATCTGAGCATCCATGAAGTATGGCAAAGCCATACTTGAAGAGTATCCAGTGCTGATATTGCTGATTTGCCAAAATCTGCAGTTTCTCAAACAACTACTTGAAGCAAACTCCAAAAGGAAGTCAATCCCCATAGACTTCCATAAAAATGTAAAATCTACAGCAGAAATAAACATGTTCAAAGCCTTGTATTAAAAAAAAAAAAAAGAAAGAAAAAAAAAAAGCAGGTGTTGCTCTAACTAATTCATGACAATTTTTGGGGTGTGGGAGGGGAGTTAGAGAACTTACCTGGTGAGACTGTATTAAAGCTTAAAGTTATGAACAATATTTTACACAATATCTCAATTCCTTTGGGTCACTTGGTGTTCGCACTTCCTGGTCCAACACATAGTGGTGTTTTTGTGTAGCGATTTAATTAAAAACTTATAGATAACGTCTTATTTCATAGTGTAATCGTCACATGCTTCATCCGAAGCAAACTCACTGTGTCTTTAGGGATTCCCCAGCTTAGCTCACAGCCGACTTAACAGCAGGGCCTCTTCACCTGTCCCACCTACACTTTCCTGCTCATTGTGTCAGATGTTTAGTTATTCCTTGACCTCCTTTAGTAATAATTATTCTTAAAATAAATATAGCCTATTTGCCAGGCCAGGATCACTGAATTGGAGACTGTTTTGCACCCTTGAAATACCTTTAGCTAGCCCAGCCCCTGTAGCTGGTGCAGCCGAAGGTAGTGTAGTGTAATTAGCTCTCCCCAAGCAGCCGGGAAAACAGGATGGCTGGGTGACGGTGATGAGGAAGCACAGTCTTAAACAGAAGCCCCAGGTACACCACCAACCTGTTCATGTGTCAAACTGCTTTTTCTCCACTCTGCAACACACCCACCAGAGATCGAAATCTTGAAAGTGGCGATTCTGTTCTTAAACATGTGAAGCTAGAGACATCAGCAACCATAGTAATGGTCTTCTAGGGGCCAGAACAGGTGACACTGAGGGAAATTTAAAACTGCTGCCTAAGAGTGAACGTACATTCAGTAAAATTATAATTCACGTCGGCAGTAATGACACCCGGTTATGTCAGTCAGAGATCAGTAAAATTAATATTGAATCGGTGTATAACTTTGACAAAATAATGTCCAGTGCTGTCCAAAAAGACATCAAGACATCAAGATTTACAGATAATTGGGAAACTTTCAGGTGGAAACCTGGTCTTGTTAGGAGAGATGGCATCCTCCCTGCCAGATTTGTAGAAATAAGAGCTGCTCCATCCAAATTTAACCCACCAAAACGTGACTACCTGGAGCTGGGACCAGGAAGCAGAGTTACAGTCTTACACGCCTCTCTGCAGCTTCTCTCCTCCTGTATCCCCCCAAAACCCCATCCCCTTAGAGGCTATGTCAGCTCCCAAACAGGCAAAAAACAAAAACAAAAAACCAAACAACAAATCAGCCAAAACAACATTTAAAGATAACAACAACATTTAAACAACATTTTTTAAACATAAAAAACAAAGAAAGAACAATACAGTATTCTAAACAGCACTGGAGAGTAAAACGGTGAAATGTGGATTATTAAATATTAGGTCTCTCTCTTTCAAGTCTCTGTTAGTACACGAGTTAGTAATTTATCAATAAATCAATTTACTTTGACTTACAGAAACCTGGTTACAGCAGGATGATTATGTTAGTTTGAATGAATCAACACCCCCCGAGTCATAGTAACTATCAGAAACCTCGAGGCACAGGCCGAGGGGGCGGTGTGGCAGCAATCTTCAAGACTGAGAGTTTTAACTCATTTGAAAGACTGATGCTCAGCCTCGTCCACCCCAGCTGTAAAACTCAAAAAACAGTCTTATTTGTTATCATCTATCGTCCACCTGGGCCTTACACAGAGTTTCTGTCTGATTTCTCAGACTTTATATCCAATTTAGTTCTGAGCTCAGATAAAATAATTATTGTGGATGATTTTTAACATCCATGTAGATGCTAAAAATGACAGCCTCAACATGGCATTTAATCTTAGAACATGCTGTAGGTATTACAGGTACTGCACTGCAGTGGTTTGTATCATATCTATCTAATAGACTCCAGTTTGTGCATGTAA